TTTTATTCCATTATGTACCGTAAATAAAGTACTATATTTATGTTATTCATCATTACCGTATTTTCCGCAGTATATTTTATTATGCATCACCGCTGAAGTGTCGTGTTTGTTACTTGTCACCACTGTCCACCTGGAAATGTGTGCCAGTGTTTTGTCAAAAATCGATTGGCTGCCAAAAGGCAGATGCGGGAGCGTGCACGGGAGGACTTTAACAAGAATTTAACAAGATTAACACTTAAAAACAATTATTTATTTGCTCAAAATTATAGCAAAGGTGTGTCTCAGTCCAACTTTCCCTTAATAAATGCACTTCAGTGGTCAAATTAGCTGCATTTCGTCGGGGCGGTGCGGCAAAATGAAGCTGATTGGACAGTTGCTCAGGACATGAGCCCAGAGCTGGACGAAGGTGGCAGGCTGTGGCAAGCCGATTGTGTCATTAATATCCACTTTTACTTATTACATGACAACAGCATGCCATACTACTCGAGTGCCATCTAGAGGCTGAAAATGGTAGTGTTCAATATTTTCAGTCAGAATGAATGAAAATAGTCATATTGTAGCCAAAAACTGGTTTATAAGTGGGGGGGGGGGGGGAGGGGGGACAAGTCGATTCTGCATTTAAGACAGGGCATGCAAATTATGCAAAAAACTCAGACTTATAGGACAGAAAATACAGTAACTTTGGATACATAACTGTATGAGAAGAGTTAAAAACTGGCACCCACCTTGTTCTGCAGAAACGTTTTCTTGAGAACGTGACCAGGTCGGTGCATTGAAGCTTTCTTTAGACAACTGGGGGCAACTCTGTAACTTGGAGGCAGAAAAGCTGGTTTGACTCGAGCTGCTTTTCCTGCTCTGGTTAAAGTTTGTGTCCCACTGCAACAAGAGCTTGGCTAGTCTAGAAAATATCAAATAAGCATCAAGAACAGGTTTTCCTTTAAACATTAACTGACCGCCACATTCAGCTAACACAAGTCATCACTTCTTTGTCCTTCAGTAGAAAGTTAAGCATGTCAGTCCTCTGATCTGTGCAGAGACATGGTCCTAAGGCTTCTCACACAGCACTTAATGAAGAACTATGCGGAGGAGAGAAACGGAGCAGCAAGTAAAACACAGGTGTCATTTTCAGCACCTACCAAACAATACAAAACTAGATCATTCTGACGGTGTTCAGGTAAATCAGTGCCCAGTGACGAAAGTCAAAGGATGATAATGGTTTTGCCTGTGTCTGTTGCCGTCAGCAAAATATCTCATGGACCAGAGGACAAACTAATAAAAGCCTCAGTGAAATTGTAGGCTCAAATCTCTGAATATGGTTTGAAGTAATTAAAGATGGCTGCCACAGGCAGTCAACTTTAGCAAACACAAAATGACTACACCTAAAAAGATCCAACAGATTTGAACTAAAATTTGGTTTCACTAACTGGGCCAGTCACAACACATTCAGTGCTGATTGCCTGAAGTCAGTTTTTAAAGGTGATGTTGGGAGTCAATTCTGTGTTAGCAAAATACTTCATCAACCATTAGATGGATTTTACTACGACTCCCAGACCTTCATGACTGGACGTGTGGCTACAACCATCAACAGGTCAAGTCACAGTCGAGGCAGACAGCTGCCTAGCCTGAGCCTGGATCAGCTGAAGGTTTCTTCCTGTTAAAAGGGAGGTTTCCTTCCCACTGTCACCAGTGTGCTTGCTCAGGATGGGAAATTCAACACAATCTGCTGGTTTCCTCAGATAACTTTTACTAATTGGCATTTAATTCTAGAATTGCGCCGCTCAAGGTGGCTGCATGTTGGAGCAGCTCTGTTACTTTCATTCTGAGATTTTGCTTTTGGAAACTTTAATTCCTCTTTTTCTGGATGTAAATCACATTTTTGGATGATTGTTTCCTCTGGTATCAGATGCTGTGCAGCTGGAAGGATTTTTACTGAAACTTTTTTTAGTTTTGGACATTTGTTATGATGCGTAACCATGGCAACAAGGCAGTTTTCTACAACAGCAGCAGCTGAATAACATCTCAAAAGCTGAAATAATCTCAACTATGGCCCCAACTCTCAAATGAGTTGAAAAGGATGTTCTGTGGATGCATTCTCATCTACCTGCCAGCTGTGCTCAAGTGCCTGACCACTGAGATCCTGGAACTAGCAGGAAACACGGCTCACGACAGCGGAAGAACAGGATCGTCCCTCAGCACCTACAGTTGGCTGTCCGCAGCTATGAGGAGCTCGGCAGACTTCTGGGAGGAGTGGCCATCGCTCTGGGAGGAGTTCTGCCCGGCATTCAAGCGGTCCTACAGTCCAGGGGAACCGAGAGGCCAGCCGAGTCTGGGTGGACGTATCGGACGGCATCTGCAGCCAGTTTCTTAGGATCCACTGTGGGATGGACCTTTACAAGAGATCCTTCCTGTCTACAGCCATCAGTATCTATAACATCTCAATGAAATGAGGATAACGAGTTACAACAACAAAATAATTCCCCTCTGGGATTAATAAAGTATTTTTGAATTGAATTGAATTCATAATGTGCATACGAGTTTTTCATTATTTGTAAGCCATAATCATCAAAATTACAAAAAACAAAGGATTCAAATATGTCACTATGTGTAATGAATCTATGTAATGAGTTTTACTTTCTGAAATTATTGACAAAAAAAATGTATATGCATGTATATATTTTTAGATGCACCTGCATGTTTGTGTACTGTGCCAGGATATTTGTTGTGAACTGGCACTTCAGTAAATAAAAACTGAACTGCATAATACAAGATGGCCACCACAACTAACGAACATTAGTTAACTGTTTTATGTGTTTAAATGTTCTTGATTTTATATGTACAGCACTTTGTGGCAGTTGTGGTTGTTTTAAAGGGCTTTATAAATAAAGTATTATTATTATTATTAATAATTACTATAATTCAGTCAGTTTTAGACACTAATTTGAAATTGTGTGGTGGAACAGTGAATCACAACACACACCATGAGTGACAACACATCTTGTGCGATCTCCATATCAAACGTCATGAGATTACACATAGTCTTTACAAGGTTGGACCAAACTGGGAAAAGCTTCATCTTTTCTTAACAAAATATGAAAACTCTAGCACAGGATTATTCAACTAAACTGCTCAGGGGGGCACAGTTACTGAAAGCCAAGAGCTCAGGGGCCGGACACTTACTGTCATTAAGTTTGTTTTATGGTTTAAAATCTAGTTTTATTTAAAATGAACCCATTGGTGGGCCGAACTGAGTCCACATGTGGGCCTGAGTTGGACCCCGGGTCATCAATTGAATAGCCCTGCTCTACCATGAAAGGTGATGGGAGATATGCATTCCTTCACTGAATGCTCGGCCTTTCATTTTAAAATGAAGGTGATCAAACAGACTGTAGCAGAATTGTTAAATTAGCATTAAAGCCTCTAAACATTAAAATAATCCTGGTCTCGTGGACGACAGTGTAGAGCTGAAGAATTTCTATTAACAATAGTTGCAACACAATAAAACTGGAACCCCGAAACTTTACGATACAATAAATTTGTTTAACGCAGTAGATTGAAAACGGCTCAATCTAAAAGTACTACCTGTACTGATGATGGTAATCACTCTGGAGAAAATAAGTCAATCTTTCTCTCTTGAGCCACTGAATTCCTTCCTCTCGATCTAAACGCTGTAAGAGTCAAAGAGATGTTCCTCAAATCATGCTCAACAAAGTCCCGTCATGCTCCAGTCAAATGGCACTTACAGATACAGTGCAAGTGTCGTCTGCTGGGGGCGCCCCCATCAGCACCATCAGGTCTCCACTGAGCACTGGGGATCGACGGCGTTTCAGAGCAGATTTGATTTTTTTGTAGACGAAATGAGCTGCTCCTGTTACCACCTCTAACAGTCCAGTATCCTGATTGTACACCAAGATATCTGAAAAAGACTGCAGAAATGCACATAAAGGTCGATAAAAAGGCTTTGGGGCTTTTATATACGTGCTAAAATCTGTATTAGGTCCATTACCGGCAGACTTAAGAAATCATTGAAGAAGTGAGCCAAAACCTTATCAGAAGCCAAAGAACTCTCCTGCATGGAAGAAATATATATATTTAAACCCTGAATGAAGCAGACTGAACTAAATCTAAACTGCAGAAACATGAAAGCATAAAACTGTTGATGATCAAAAGTTGTACTCACAAAGTTCCCAGAAGTAAGGTAGGGGACTTCTTAACACAGACAAAATGTACAAGTTAACCAAAAGCCAAACAAATGATAGAGAAGTTGAAAGTGTTCTTACCTGTTGAAATGAGTCCACACATTGTGCACGTCAAGCACGTAAAAGTATTTTGTGCTTAGCAGGACAGTCCCATTGTGTAATTACAGACAGTCCAGGTTGCTATGGAGGTGGACTCATTTTCAAAACACAAGAGGGCTGTAAAAGTTTAACCACAGAGCCAGACACAGATCAAACCCCTCTACAACAGCTGCATTTCTGCTTTGGTACGTCAAAGATAGTTTATTCTAAAAATATGTGTGGAAACTGTATTACATTGAAATGTTCAACATCACCAACATGAAATGTAAAATAAATACTGGAACTGGGCCCTGTTGCAGTTAACTAATCCCGACGCTAGGGGGCACCAAACTACAGTTAACTGAAATTTGTGGAGAACGTCAAAATGAAAAAGTATAAAAAATAAAAAAATCTTTATTTTAAAAGAGCAATAGTAAAAGCTGAAAACGTCACAAACATCAAAAAACAAGGACAACAAAAAAGCATTTTGTACAGTGGATGTGTCGGGAAGAGTATCTACAACTAAAACTCACAGCAGCTGCTCAAACATCACATGCACGCATTTAATTAAAAACATCTAAGAACTACGTGTTGCAAAACAGTACAAATACTAACGCAAACAGAAAGTGAAAAGCACAGATCACGTCCATGTACGAGCCCAACCTTTAAAAAAAAATGGCTAAAGTGACTTTTGCAAAGGAGACAGGAACGATACAAATGTTCTGTTCACAGTCTCCTAATGTTCCGCTTGCTTTGAGCGCTTCCTGGGAGCAAACTGTCCTTCTTGCGTCGGCCTCCGGACCGACTTCCACACTCCCTGGAGCCATGAAAGGCACACAAGCATGAAACACAGAACTGAAAGCCACAGTCAGGCCGGCTGCACACTCCCTCCCCCTTCACTGAATGGCACCTTGCTGGATCCTGACATCTCGGACAAGCCTTGAGGCACTCATCGATGAAGAGGGTTTTAGCAACCTGAAAGAAAGTGACTTCAAATTACTTCTGTCTAAAAGGTTTTTAAACTTCATTTGAATTTCCTCCCACTTTATAAATATTCACCAATGTATCAAGCAACAAGTACTCACCTCCAGAAATTTATCCCGCTTGCTGTTGCTGTGCTGTAATGGGGTGAAAGTGCTATTTGCAGACAGTGGGGTGCAGAAACTGGAGGTTCTGGACCGGGCCTGAACGGTCTTTAAAGCCGACCGTTTGGACAGAGTAACTCTGGTCTCTGCATCACAGACTTGAACAGCACCACCACCCTGTGAGAGAAGCAAGCAGAACACCCAGTTCAGTCCATCGCACTGGTTCAGAGTAAACAGCTGTTCTGCTGCGTTTAGTCTTCAGCTTTAACGCGTCTCAGTCCCTGAGCAAGATGGCCGTCTTCAGCTGCCTCCAACAAGATTGTTGGGGTGTTGGGAAAAAATATACTGAGTACGTGCAGAGTACAAAGACTGCATATGAAAATAAAAAGGTAAATGACATGCAAAGAAATAAAGTAAAATATTTAAGTGCAGGGATGTGGTTAAAAAGGTGTTACACAAGTGAAGACTATTTTTTCTTCTTTTGTACCAATTCCAATACTTGTACGTGAAACAAAAGTGGAACTGCTCTTGTAGATTTACGTCTCGTATTCCTTCCATTTACTGACGAAAGATTAAACAGAGCTCCTGGGGATGTTTAGTCATGAAAATCCCGACTTGTAGTTTTCCATCATCTTTTCTCCAAGTTGATTTAGGACAGTCGCTCTATAGGGTGAGTATTTATGCAACTACCGGTGCATGTGTTCATAGAATTGGTATCACTCTGTAGAAATGAGATTTGACTCGACACTGAAAAACATTTTTAAGATTTTTTTGTTTTTGCCAATTTGTATTGACTGATTGAAATGTGTGTTAGAATCCAACCTTAACTTATTTTCAGCACTAACTTACAAGATATGGTTGTAAATCTAGCACTACCGTACTTTCCGCTATACATGTCGCACCGCCCTATAGTCGCATCAGTCCAAATATGTCTAATAAAGTGGAAATAAACAAATACGTCGCTTCGCCATATTAGTTGCATGTATTATACATCACCGCTGACTACCCAGAAATGTGGGCCGGTGTTGTACCAAAAATCAATTGGCTGCCGAATGACGGCTGCGGGAGCGTGCACGGGAAGACTTTAACAAGAACTTAACGATATTTATTTAGCAAAAAATTTATGATTTATGATACTTTTATTTTGTAATGTTATTGTTTTTTTTTTCTAAGTGAAACTAATAAACATTTTGTTTCTTCAAAAAAATAAAAAAAATAAAATTGAACAAGATTACCACTTAAGAACAAATGTTTGTTTGCTGGACATTATAGTGAAGATGTGTCTCAGTTGAACTTTTCCTTAATAAATGCACTTTAACATTAAAATCAGCTGCATTTCACCTGGGCAGCGCGGTGAAATGCAGCTGATTGGACATTTGCTCCAAGAGTTACTGAGCGAGATGAAGGTGGCTTTGTATGGCAAGCAAAGTGTCTCATTAATAGCCACTTTTACCTATTAGTGAGACATCTAAAAAAGTTAAATCTGGTCCTCTGGACATTCACCAGATTTAACTTTTTTAGATTTTTCTACCTGGATTATTGAGCATGCATCAGGATATTAGTGAGACACTTGGCTTGCCATATAACTCGACCACCCTCTAGTGGCTGAAAATGGTAGTGTTCAATATTTTTCATGTCAGAATGAATGAAATCAGTCAAAAATTGGGTTATAAATATGGGAAATAAAACAAATACGTCGCTTCGCTGAATAAGTCACAAGGCATGCTAATTTATGCAAAAATGTACGACTTATACATCGAAAGTACGGTAATTAGTACAGTCAGTTTTGTGTCCATTATCAAAACTTGTCATGAACCAAAGGATGGATTTATTTATGTTGTCAGAAAGTAACTATTGGATGTACAGCTTATGACTGATTTACTTTTAGAAGTGCCTTAAATCAAGAATTACAAAAATGACTAATTGAATCAGTTTTGCAGACGAAGCTAAAATTTGGTGTGATAATAGCTGAAGGCATTTCACAACACAATCTGAGCACCATCGTGTAGCAATATTGCATGAGACTGAGCATTACGTCATTTACAACTCCTTTCTCATCACAACTTGATCTTAGAATCAAACTCTAAGGCAGCGGGCGATACGTCAAAAGACCTGAAAACATGTTTTCTTTGTCAACAATTGGGTTTAATACCAAAGTTCAAGGTTTTGTCTGTAAAAATTAAACTTTTATTATTTATCTGACTTTATAATGACCAAAAATTACACGCAGTAAAAATAAATAGAAGAAATGTACCTCGAGCACAGCTTCTACCTCACTCAGGTATTCTGTCCTCCTCAGGTTAGCCTGATGGTTCTGCAGAATAATTTCATTCCAACTTTTGCACACAAGACCACACCTATCAAATACACAAAATAATGATCAAAACTCACAAACACACACTGATATACGAGACCCAATATTTCATTCCTCTCTGGCCATGCCTGGGACTATTAATCAAGCCTTATTTTATTTTATGTTAATTCAAAATGTAAGTTCTCTCATCTTTTTAGAACACTGTAGTTGAAACTGTTTCTAACTAATAGTATTGGCTGTTCCTTACACACATTTAGTCTTTACAGCAACAACGTAAGGTATGATTTTAACACGATGGATAAAATAAATAAAAATAAACTAAAAGTCTAAAAGACCAATTGAAACGTTAAACAGGTTAACTGGGAAAATGAATTCATCACCTGTAGACACACTCGGAGTTCAAAACGCTGAATATAATATCCAGGATGTGCTTGAGATTTCTCTTCTTCAGCTCAGTCAGAATGTCCACCTTCCCCAGGCCCATCTTCCTGCCTATCAGCCCTGCCAATGGCATTGTGGTCCCGAAGGCAAGCGGAGTCTTAGCCAGAGCCATGGTTGACTTCAGCTCTTCCTTCAGGCTTGGAGTTTGGCCAGAAAACATCTGAACTTTGTGTTGGCACATGGTATGAACCAGCTGTAAGGCTGGAGTCAAAGACAAGTTGACCGGGGTTGTTCTGAGAGGAGTGATGGTAGGAGTAGAAGAACCTGCACAGTTAGGTGTAGAGTTCTCAGGTCTGGATGTAGGGACTCCTTGAGGAGTAACATAATCATGTTTTGCGAAGGTCAAGCTACTAAAACATTTAGGAGACCATGCACTGTAAGGAGTAGAGTCATCAGCAAAAACCTCATCTTCTTTAGAATGGTCATAGCACTTAGAGGTTGGCTTTTCCACTGGATTGTCGTCAGACTGCGAGCCACCTTCTTTAAGAGTAGAAAGTCTATGCTGTCGCTGCAAACGGGAGCGACGTTTAGTAACGGACACACTTTGAGGTTCGTCGTTTCCTCTGGAAGAAGAAAGCAGCAGCTCCTGGAAGGAGCCGTCCTGATCCAACGAGGAGTCTTGGGATTTATCAAGAGTCAGTGAACTGAACCCACTGTCCACAGATCTGTTTCAAAGGTACAAGGAAAGGCACATGTAAAAACATTTCATTCATCATGTCACTTCAGTATGATGATGTTCTGAATGTGTGTGCATACTGTACATGTGTTTGTGTGGAAATACATTAGGGCTGCAAGATTAGAAAACCCTTGCAGCGTGTGAGGTTATCGTTTAATATCAAAATGACATCAGCTGTGCTTAAGCCAGTTTTCTTCTCTACCCACTTTATCATTATCATCTAAACCAGCTGTGGACATCAAGACCAGTGAGAGATTGTTGGATTGAGCAGATATGTTATTAGCATGTAGAACATGAATAAATGTACTTTAAATGTACCGGTAATAGTCCGATTTACTGCACTTCAAGTAGTGCTTTGTGATATTGATATTGCGCTCAGTGATAAATTGTCAAAATATTGTGCAGACCTATAGGTGTGTATGTATCAGTATGTTTGTGTATTTCCTGACAGGTCATTAGTTACAAATCCTAATATATGATAGGGCGGGATAAAACAAGAAGTAAAGGGACAATCAGTGTGCAAATGGTAGAGAGGTAGGATTAAAAAGGTTGTTTCTACCATTTTTGAACGTGCCATCTACACACTTATTAATTTTGTTTTGCTTAACATGTTCCAAGTAGGCAGCACGGTGGTACAGTTGGTAGAGCCGCTGCCTCTCAGTGAGCAGGTCGCCCTGGTTCACATCCCGGTCCGGGGGTCCTTTCTGGGTGGAGTTCGCATGTTCTCTCCGTGCATGCGTGGGTTTTCTCTGAGTACTCCAGTTTCCTCCCACAGACCAAAAACATGCATGTTAGTCTGACTGGTAACTCTAAATTGTCTCTAGGTGTGAGTGAGAGAGTGAATGGTTGTCTCATTTGTGTCTCTGTGATGGACTGGAGACCTGTCCAGGGTGTCCCCCGCCTCTCGCACAGTGACTGCTGGATATGGGCACCAGTGACCCGAAAAGGAAAAAGCAGGTAAAGAAGGATGATGATCATAGTAAAGCCTTAAAACTCAATCATCTAAATCAGTCATAAGTTTTAGTATTTGATTATACAAATTTTGGGAAAATTATTGATTTTTAGTTTTTTATATATTAAAAAAAATACAATTATCTCAAGATTAAGTTTTTTTTTTCTTTTTTCAGCTGCTCCTTCTTCAGGGGTCGACACAGTGAACTAACTTGCACAAAGACTTGGCAAATATTTTTACGCTGGATGTCCTTCCTGACACAACCACAGACACCGAGCTACCACAGCCCTCTGTGTGGAGCAGAGAGCTGCCATCCAGGGTGCCTGGGGGAGCAGATGGTGGGGGTTAAAAACCTTGCTCAAGGGTTCAGAGTGGGGCAAATAAGGGTGGAGGCAGGTGTGGGTGCTTCACCTTTCCCATCCATATTTTTGATGTTGGTACCGGGAGTTGAATCGGCGATCTTCCAATCACAGGCCCACCTTCTCTAGCCTCTGCGCCACCACTCCCATGCTCAAGATTCAATAAAGAATTTTAACTAAGGCTCAGTATTTTCACTTTTCTTGCTTTGTGTCATTGTCAAAGTTAGTGACGTGACTACCCAACTGTGTTGTAGTTTAATTTTCTTGATAAGTATATTTTGTATTATATTTGTAACATGTTGCTTGTTTTATAACTAAAATGGTCACAGAAAAGTTTGATAGTATAAAGAACCTCACATTTACCTGATGTATTTGGGCGTTTGTGCCAACGTTGGTGTGCAGAAACCACGTGCGCAGTCATAGAGGATATTAGTGACACTGCTTTCTAGCGGTATAACAGGCAGCAACCCTGGAGCATTTGGATCCAGATGATCGGAGGCTGAAACGTCTCCACTGAATTCTGTCTCTGTGAGGGAAACACTTCTTTCAAAGGAGGACAGGTTACAAATGTCGAGTCTGCCATCTTTTACAGTGGAGGTCCTCACTTGTGTGAAGAGATGGCGTTTCCTGACGGAAAGAGACAGATCCTGGTCCAGTTTTACAGTGTTCGATGCCCCGACAGTCAGAAGGTCTAATGAGTCAAAGGATGCACTGAGCCACTGTTCAGACCTGACACCACAGGTGGATTCAGTATTTGAGGTAGAAGGTGATTGTGCACCACTGACTGTAGTGGGTTTGCAGAATACAAGTCTGTGTCGCAGCGAAGCATCTCTTTTATATACTTTTGGAGTTTCACACCAGCTGATGGCAGATGACTGTGGTACTTCCCTGGAGTCTCCGACTCTCTCTTTAGGAGAGGCAATAAGCTTAAGGTTTTCTTTAGGAGTTTCAATGAATTCTGCTGGAGATGTTGATGTAAAGGAGACTCCAGTGGTGCTCCCTGGGCTCTGGAACAAACCCGAGTACCCGCTGTCGGTGCAGTCATTGTAACAGTGCTTGGCTTTATAGCGATGCAGGGGGACATTAGACTCGGTTGTACTCGGCATGACCCTCCTGTGTAACCGCAGAGCTCCACACAAAAACTTCAGGGGACCTGAGGATGACAAAAAAAGTAAAACAAGAATGTTGATGTTCAAAAAGACCAGAGCAGCAACAAATAGTTTGGTTAACATTTCCATTGATTTGGTAAAGGTTAGCTTACAATTTGAGCATTACATTTTATTTCCAAGGTGTTAAACTCTATTATAAAGAGCAGAGCAAGGTCTGCAACCTGTAGCTCTTAAACTTTGTTTTTTGTGGCACCTTGTAACTTTGACTAAAAACAACATGTACTAGTTCAGTGATTCCCAAAGTTGTGGTCTCCACCTACAGCCATGAAACACACGACATGAGGTCTGGTGACATGAGGCCAATGTTTAACTGTTCATGGGTTTCTGTCCAAATACTTGCAATATCAGAAGAAGACAAAAACCTTACAAAGTAGAATGCGACTAAATATACTCAGGTTGCATTTATTATTATGTTCAATAATTTTAAATGCATCATGTACACAGCTTAAATTCTGTACTAAAAAAAGATCAACTTTCCATAAGAATATGTTCACACTTAAATTAGAATTTACTGTTGAGCTAATAGCTTGTTGCATGTTCTCCACTTGGTTTATGCAGTTTTTTAGAGTGACAGTGCAGCGAGTCTTCAGCTCCACCAAAAATGAACATTTCTCAACATACTGGGTCAAGTGCTTTAGTGTAGAAATGAGCTTTACATGTAGTGGACACACTCGACTTAATGTTTTGAAACATGCAGTTGTAAAAACATACAGCAATGTATTCCTATAAGAATGTAAAAACTAGAAGGTCTTGCATAAAAGACTGACATCCTAAACACTTCACACACAAAAAAGAAAAAAAAAATTCTCATTTATAAAGAATTTATTATGAGCTAGGACTTTTAAAAAGTATTGATAAAACTTAAAATATTACAAGGAGCACATTACATTAGTAAATCTAAAATTGCTCAAATAAACCTTCATTTGACATCTGTGACGGGTGTTTTGAGTCATCTTGTAATCTAACCCCGGCTTTTGTTACATCTAAAACAAAGCATTGGAAATCATATTTTAGAAAAATTTCTGATGTTGTGGGTGAAAATTAAAGAACTCATTCCAAAAATAAATATATTTTTAGACATGTTAAGAATATATTTGATGTGGAAAGAAAATATTGCATCGATCAACATCTTTGCTTTGTGATAGAAAGTATTTGTTTAAGCTTAACGAGATTGAATATTTCATTTGGGGCGGCTGTGGCTGAGTGGTTAGAGCAGTCGTCCTCCAATGCCAGAGTTGGGGGTTTGAATCCACCAGCAGCCACATGCCGAAGTGTCTCAGGGCAAGACACTGAACCCCTCATAGCCTCTGATGTGTGTCCCATCAGTGTATGAATGTGATCTAAAGCTCTGATTAGTTTCTTTAGAATGATGTGTTCAATTATCTTTGTAGAGATCTAGTAGAATGTATGAATGAATGGGTAAATGAGGCACAGATTGTAGTGTAAAGCGCTTCGAGTATCTTGAAATAAGAAAGAAAGACACTACAGTCCATTTACCATTTGAGGCTGTATTGATGAATTTTGAAGTCCTTGATATATTATTTTAGGAAAATAAATTCCCTTAGATTCTCTGAAGCTGTCAGTTTAAAAAACGTATTCCTCCGACAGCAACAAAGTAGACAAAATGTATTACTATAATTACTTTTCTTGCAGTTTTATATACCATTAGTAGTAGCAATGTTTAAAAAAAAATGAGTTTGTTACTTTTTGTTGGTAACTATGTTAGTCTCCTTTTTAATTAATGTTATTTTATTTTTATTTTTTTTGGTTTGGGGTGAGACAGAGGTAAAGCTCTTGAGATATAAATGCAGGTGTGTGTGTGTGTGTGTGTGTGTGTGTGGCCTTCATTTGATGATATATCATGTCCGTTTCCCCAAAATATATATTTTTTCTTTTTTTGTCTCGGCACTTAAAAATACAAAAAAAATTCACAGTGCAACATAAACTTGTTTATTTCAAGATTAGTTTCTATCCTGTGGTTCTGTAAAAAGTTCAGCAGAACATATAATGTTTTCTACATATAATTGTAATTGTCTCCATCTAAGCAGCTGCTGACACAAACTGGGTCAGCTGGTTCCTCGCGCTGGGTTAAATCTCCTGTCGCGTGCGCTCTGCAGCTAGAAAGGAAGCTGTAACCGCCAAAACCAGCAAAAGACCGCCAGCTTTGTTAGCAAACAAATCACGTTTTTCACAATACATATATGTATTTATTTCATTTCTTTTTTTTACATAAAATCAACAAAAGGACCTGCGCCGGACTTTGACGTCAAAAATTAGCACGAGTCGAAGACACCTGGGAACTATAAGGTCTAACGGCAACACAAGCGAAAATAAAATGTTCAAATAATTTAATTAATCGCCACATTTAGACCGTGTTTTCAAAAAACACACTTGACACAACTAGCTAACGTAACAGCCAACATTTAAACCGTGTCTTAAGGTAAAACTCACCGCGACTAGAGGTCGTGGACTCTGCCGGTTCGGTTCTTGCCTCAGGTTCGGTTCCAGGCCCAGTTTACACCCTCTTGGCTTGTGCTTCCATCCCTTCCACGCTCGCTTAGTACAAACAGTGTTCAAATCTGGAGCCGTGTGGACTGTGTCACGTGCTTCCGCCTCAGCTCTGCTGGGCTTCCGTCCGTGGTAACCATAGCAACAAGTTACAAACGACTGTTAAGGTAGTCGGAAGCAGGTGGGTCCGAAGTAGATTATTTGACTCAAATATTTGCTGCGTTTCTGTAAATTATTCAGGAGTTCACTAGTTGAGACAGACACTGAAATTGTATTTTTTCTTTGTACTGCCATCAAATAACGCCACATTCTTTTCATTATTGTGGGTCGAGGTAACGCTAGCTGAAGCTAAAGAAGATGGTCTACTTTTTCCTCTATTTTTTTTATTTATTATTTTATTTTTGCAATCTAACTACTTATGCACACTTTGTGCTATTTTAACCATAACGATCAAAACATTCAGCTCATTCAGATAGGTTTTGTAACTTGTAATACTTTTCGAAATATTTTATGTATCTTTATTGACAAATACTTTCCACGTAGAAATACATTGTGTGATCAGTTCATTCACTTTGAAATCTGCTGATGGGGATTAAAATATGTCTATTAATCTGCTTCACTTTACTTGCTTGAATATTGTCTTATGCTACTTAACATTTTTACTACTGTTTGGATCATTTTAGCTAGGTTTAGCTTCTAGCTACTTTACCTATTAGCTAGCATTTTTATACTTTTGGCTTTTAACTAGCCCGTTGCTATTTTGGCTTTTACTTCATTTAGCTAAAGCTAAATGCTTAACAGCTTGGTTTCAACTTTTACAGCACCCAACCTTTACACTGCATTTTTGCAGAACATACCCTTTCCAAAAAATTAGAATTTCATGGAAAAGTTGTTTAACTTCCATAATTCCATTCAAAAAGTTAATGTTTAAAAGATGATAGATTCAGGGCCCACAATTTAAACAATTTCAAGTATTTATTTGTTTATTTTTATATAATTTAGGCTTCCAGCTCATGAAACCCATGAAAACAGGATTTCAAAAAAATTGAATATTGTGAAGAAATCAGCTCGCACTTCTCAGTTTTGGCAGAAAAAAATAAAGAAATTAGGATCACAACAAATCAATCAAAATATGGTACTTTCAAAGCGATATGTCAGTCTTCAATACTTGGTTGGGAATCCCTTTACCTTAATCCCTGCCTCGATGCGACGTGACATTGAGGCAATCAGCCTGTGGCATTGACTGGGAGTTATGGAAGCCCAGATTTCCTTGATGCTGTTTTTTTGGAAAGGGTCTGACTGAAAATTGTTGGATTGTATACCTGGATTATTGAGCATGGACTTTGTTGTTCTGTATTAACGTTTTGATTATTTCTTCACGCCGACTGAGTGCAGGAGCACTTTCTTCTCAGCCATGATGGATACGCAGATGGAGATGGGTACAGACTCTCTTCAAAGCTCGACCTCTGACCCCTGTGGGAAGGTTCCTGTGGAGCACCTGGACTACGATTACATTGAAAAATGCAAAGATGTAAAATATGTGGAGAAGATGTTGAGAGTACTCAGGTAAATATTTTATACTTCAAGTTGTAAGGTAATAAAAGTTTTATAATTATTTATCATTTATTATCATTTTCCTTTAAATTATTAGTGTGAATGAAGATAAATAATAGTAATAAAGATTATGATAAAAAAAAAACTACATTTTAAAAGCACATTTTTATAAAACTTGTTTCAAAAAATGTTAGTTTGTAGTACACAGCGTTCACACATAGTATGAAAAGTGTGGAGTTTCCATTCATACATCCATTATCTTTACCCGCTTCTTCCTTTTGGGTGGCGGGGGTCACTGGTGCCCATGTCCAACTATCACTGTGCGAGAGGTGGGGGACATCCAGGACAGGTCTCCAGTCCATCACAGGGACACATAGAGACAAATGAGACAAACAGCCATTCACTCTCTCACTCACACCTAGAGACAATTTAGAGTTACCAATCATTTTGGTCTGTGAGAGGAAACTGGAGTAACTGGAGAAAACTCACGCATGCACTGAGAGATCATGGAAACTCCACCCAAAAAGATCCTGGGTCGGGATTTGAACCGGCAACCTTCTCTCTGAGCAACAACAGCTCTACCAACTGAGCCACTGTGCTACCCTTTTCTAAAAGATGGAGTTCAACAATTTAAAATAGCTGTTTTCACATTTTTTGCACATGAAAGGTGTTCATCATGATTTTCACTTTTGGTTCAGTTAAATCCAAAAAAAATGCAATTATTATATTGACGGAGAATCCACATCAGCATTTTGGTTCAATTACCACATCAAGCCTGGGTTTTAAGGGTTCAGCCACAAAATTTAAATTAGTCTATTGAACTCAGCTTTTTAATCATAAAACTTTAAATGACTAAAGTCTAAACTAAACATTATGATCATAGATATCTGCCCCGGCCCCGACAACATCAAAAATTGTGGGTGGGGTAGGTGAAACACCCACACTTAACCCCCACCCTCATTCGCCCCACTCTGGGCCCATGAGCAAGGCCCTTAACCCCCACCATGTGCTCCCTAAACAGGTCTCTCTTGAAAATGAGTTCTCGTGGCTCAATGAGACTAACCTGGATAAATAAAGGCTAAATGAAAAATGAAAAATCTACATGTTTTGTCTAAAATAAGCAAAAGCTTTTATTTGCCTACTGAGTCAATGATTCCAGATTCAGAACATAAAGCAAAGCAAAAATATATCCATATTTTGTATATTTGGGTTGACAAACAGTTTACCACTTGTGCCAGTTTACAAATTGTATTTCTGATATTCAAAGACAATTTCAGAATTTTTTTGATTGATCATGCTAAACTACAAAAAGAATAAAAGCTTGGAAATATTTTCTACATTATCTATAAGCATCTCTGCAATTATTTTTCTACTTTTCTATTGTCCTCCGGAAACAAAATCATGCATGTTACAAAATACAACATTTGTCTCACAAGGTTGGCCGGCTTTACAGCGTACAAAGGATTTTCTTTGACCATAAATTGTTATTATAAGTAGACAAACATAAAACAACACCGTACAAACATTCACAGGGCATTTAAAGATTTTTAATGCCAGGAAAGGTTCAAAAACCCACAAAGGTTTTAAAAAATATGAGTCTAGAAAATTATGGAACTTTATAATGGAAAATGTGGGGGAAGCACAAGTATAACAGATATTTAAGAGTTTAATATTTTCTACTTTTAAAACTTATAATATATTTAATATTTACAAAAAAATACCAACACGAGCTATGTGAGATAACAGAATATTATAAAAATACTAAGAAATAGGTGTCCTTCTTTTGTCATGCAAGAGTCATTAGAGACTGAAATCAGGTTCATAGAAGGATGACGATATCCTGATGCATGCTCATGGGCTTCATCAAAGAATGAAGATGCAAACTTTAAAAACTATTCATTTAAATTTTAAATTACAGATAAAGGCAGCAAGGATATATGCATAAAGATTACTGTAGTGTACATACTGTATATCCATCCATTCAATCCGTTTTGGATATAAATTTACTATTGCACCAATTCACAACAAGTCATCTCAGGGCACAGCTTATCCATTTAAGATTCAAATCCAAGTGCAGTCATTTCACTGTTTATAGGACAGTACCATCACATGTGCTGCATTAGAAAATCTAAGGAACATTATAAATCTAAGGAAGCAAGCAGATTAGGTTGAATCTTTGCCGCAACGAAAGGAGAAAACCTCCCAACAGAACCAAGCTCAGGATGGGCAACCATCTCTGGGGGTTGAGAGGATAGAAAAGAGACACAAACATGAAAGGATTGGTCCAGGTTTAGTTTCCACGAGAAGGGAAAAAAAACAGATTAATAATTGAAATAATTACATGCACAACCATGAAGAGTAGAGAGAGTAAAACAGATGAGGGAATGGGGTCAGTTTGTCCTCCAGCAGCATAAGCCCATAGGAGCATAACTAAGGGATAGTATAGGAAACCCAAGCCAACCCTAACTATAGGATTTATCACCAATGAAGGCATGAAGCCTGGTTTTAAAAGTAGACAGTGTCAGAGCAGCTCTGTGAAGAGCTGCCTTGTATGTTGGTAGATTATCTCTGCAGGTTCAATAAAATCCCTCCATGGTGGAGTATTATTCTCTTACCATCTGTCTAGCTGCTTGTTTTAAGGTGTCTAGCTTTGAAATAAACAAACGAGCCAGCTTCCTCTGACTAATTATTTTCTATTTCAGAGGAGCAATTTTATCAAGTAAGTCTTGTGTTGAAGTTTTAATAATAACAAGGTGATCTATTTGTGAGGAAGTAAAATTAAATATGCTATTTTGTGCTGCATTCCTTTGTGAAACAAGAAAAATCTTAACGGAAGATATTTTTTAATTTAGTGATAGCATTTTCTGATAGACATCTACTGTAATGAAGTTTTCTCTGGGTCCAGTCAGTGTACACTCAAAGGTTATAAAGTGTTTTTCACTATGAAACTTGGCTGAAAACATTAGTGAATTTGACACCTGGTAAAATATTTTTTTGACTGTATTTTGTGTGAAGGTCTGGTAAGGAAGGCATTTATCCTCATCTGATTACGTTCTGTGAGAGTCACTTGGAGAAGCTGAACCCTAGAAGCAGAGCTCTCAGGAAGGAAAGCCCTGCAGCTACAGCAGCCAGCTTCTCTAAAGATGACTGGAGCCAAATCACTGGTGAACTAAAGGTAAGGTACTCAGCAATGTGTGTAGCTTGTGCTCTGTGTGACAGTGTTTCTGGGCTCATAAACACTTTGCATATGACTTTTATTTTTACAGAAATGGGAAGAAGAAACCAAGAAAACTGAAGCTTTGCTTAAAGAGGAGTCCATGTTTGGTGTCACAGTGAAAGAAAAAATACCACCTGTAAGAGGCTCGAATTGTTTTGTCCCACTCAGTGAGGTAATCTTAAACTATGTACATTGTAAGAACATGACTGGAAATAGAGTCATAAAAGACAAACCCTCAAACCCTGAATAAAATATTTTCACAATTGCAGAATTCAGCTCCAAAAGAAAGA